GCGAATTTAGTCCAGTGTCCCGTATTGTTCATTCTCGTGTATATTGCCTGCATTGACAAATGGATCAAATACGTGGACATCGACAGATAAATGGAACAAACGATGAATAGTGTGCAAAGGAGCATAGAGAGGTGCATCCTTATGAGTACAATGAGTGGCGAGGAGAGCAACACAGATTAAAGAACATGCATGTTAGATGACACCTCTCATTGAATGTTTATAAAGGTAAGTGGGCTTGGGCAGAACCTGTGTTCTAATTAAAGCTGTGGGACTTGAGGTGGCTCAGAAGATAAGTGCCATTATCTGTGTCAAAAGCACCCAGGCAACACTGCTGATCAAGGCCGTAGCCATGGAGTCAACATTGGGGGGGACCAAATCTTCCATGGGGTCTGGGGGTCTCCCCCAGAAAAAAAATCTAAATTTGAAAACTCATTTCCTGCCATTTCCTGCCTAAAATATAAAAAAAAATATTAACACATAGGATGTTTTTTTTACAATAATGTCTAATAGTGTATTGTATTACATTGCTCTGGTTTTTTTCTTTTTTATCTTTTCTTGTTTCATTGTATGTAATAGCAGAGATTAGGGATTAATAAAGTACAACGATAACCACAATAATATAAACAGAAATCTATCTTATAGCAATATATTGGGGGGGGGGGTACATTTTGAGCATATTTGAATATTGGGGGGGAGATATTTCCCCCCCAATATATATTATAATTACGGCATTGCTGCTGATCAAGATCCCTGTTTAGAATCTTGGGTTGCCACTGAATAGGCATGGGTTTCTTAAGTGCAGCGAATTCATGACTGTGAACTACAAATCACAGCCTACATTTGGTTTCAAATCTGGCATAGGTCTGCAGATAATTTATTTTTGTAATAAATACAGTAGAAGTTGAAAATTATGTGCTCCAACAATCCACAAGTTCTATAATTCTCAGCGCCCATGTGGTTCACAACTCCTATATAATTCACAGGGCCAGAGATCCCAAAATCTGAAATTTTGCTGCGGAAGTTTGGCTTTTATTTGCGGTGTACCGCTGGTTCCAAGATCTACTGGGAGATCCCCCACATATCACCGTGGATTATAGGAGTCACTCTTTATATATGTTTGTAGTTCACTCATGCTTCGACTCCGATATCCTATGATGATCATAAAAAACATTTAAATCCCTTTGTTAAGCTACTGCTCGATGAAGGCTTTCTCATATTGTCTAACTTCATGGGGGTTGTTTAACCGTATTTCATCTTGGTGGTCAATGCAGAGCACTGAACGCGGGCATGGAGGGTCGGATTTTGTTGCAAAATCGGTTACGTTTGTAACTTCCAAAATCCAGAACTATAATCCAGCACTGAATATTTATAAATCACTGGGAATGTTTTTTGCAATGCACATCTCGTGTCTGGTCCCATCCCCGCACACACACAGGGCGGACCGTGTCTATCGTATGGTACTGGGCAAGCACAACTTACGCATCAACGAGCCTGCGCAATTCGAGTCGACTATCGCTCTGAGTGTCGTGCATCCTTCCTGGAATAATCATCCAACCAGAGGGTGGAGTACCACATTGCACATTTAACACCGTCCAACTTTAAGCACAGCGATTGTGCCGCCACTCCACACGATCTTGTAACGAGACGAGCAGATGGCGGCCGCAATTTACAGACAAAAAAAAACAAAATTGGTTGGGGTGGTTAATTGGTCAGGGGCAGACATGTGACATTTGGTCAGGGGCAGACATGTGAAATTTGCACCGTAGTCTCGTTTTATACCGAGTTCTCTCTACTCCACCCCCTTCTACCCTGCAGGTTTGACATCGCTCTGATGAAGCTATCTTCCGCTGCACCTCTTAGCGAGCAAATTAAACTCGCGGTGCTGCCACGCGTGGGGCAGGAGCTGTGGGATAACGTCACCTGCATGGCTACAGGCTGGGGTCTCCTCGCGAGTGAGTGCACATGACACCGACCACACGACCAATGCAATGCATATTCACTTGGGTTGTTTTGATATTGAGTGACAATCACATGAAGAGACTAAATATTTGGGTACCTGCTTGGTTACATATAATGTAGTAAAAATGCTTCAAGGCTGTAAATGATAAGAAAATGCCATCACAGGCCAACTTAGTGAAAACTTGACAAATAATGTTTGATTAGAGGCGCCACGGTAGCGAGGTGCTAACTATCTCACCTGGTATATAGGAGGTCGTGGGTGCGATCCCAACCTGACGCCTTTATATTTAGAGTTCGGATGTTCTCCCCGTGGTCATGTGGAATTTTTCTCCGCGTCCTCCGGTTTTTCCCTCCACATTTAGAAACATACGTTTCGAGTATTTGGCTGCTATACATGTCCACATGATAAGCCACTTCGTTGAGCTATCATTTGTGGCCAGGTCGCTTCTGAAAAAAAGCTGCAAAGATCAGTGGCCGTTACCTGGTAGTTTAGTTCTAAATAAAAAATAGTTTTCTCTCGTTGTCAACTCATAACGCAGCACACCGTAGTCGCTCACTCTTGGAGAGAGACAGAATGACTCAGAGGTACAAAGGAGAAACCACAGACAAGTGGGAAGGCAAGAGCTAAAGTCCCCCCTCCTCCAAAGCTCTGTGTACTTTCAAATATAACGGTGTTATCAGCCAATTTATGAATGTTTATACGTGGGAGGAAACCAGAGCACCCAGAGAAAACCCACCGCTGAGAGAAGGGCAATACTCATTAAGGTGGAACAGGTGGAATCCACCTTTGCTGTACCGCCTTCTGCCAGGCTAGGGTACGGCACCTCCTTGCCACCCACGGGAAGAGAGTTTCACAACTTCTGTGTGATCCACAAACCAACGCTGCCTCCGCAGCGCTGGATTACAGGCCACGTGCATAGCCACTACTGCTCAGGAACTGGTGGTTTTGCACAAGGCTGAGAGCTTCCTGTACACATAGTGCACTGTTTTTGTGTGTTGTTGAAACGTTTATAAATCTCTGGCAATGAACGTAATGTTGCCCTCTGTGCACTCTCTATTTGATCATCCGCAGTTGTCTAAGCCTCCAGTGAACCACGTTGCAGTGGGACATTGCTCTTTCCCCTCGACTGCGTCGACATCCGCTAAACTCGCCGCCGCCGCCAGCTCGTAGTGCTGTCTATTCCCTACTGGTTCCAATCTAGGGTCAAAAATATTATTTCCCCAACATTTAATATGCAAAAAACATTTGTCAGTAACACTGCGGCCCTCTTCATAGCATGCAGAGAGGCTAGAGAGTAGATTGGAATTTGAGACCACATCACATGATGGAGCCTGATGAGCATTACATTTTTAAAACGTTTTCTGAGGAACACATTCTTGCGGAGGGAGCTGGTAGGAACGTTGGATTGCTCGGTCAATGGCCAAGGTCAACGGCGGCGAGGTGTATTCCGCAAATATGCCTGACTGTGAGGGCGGGCACAAGCCGGCGTGAGTAGGTTAAACGTTGAGTTTTATAAGGGCACCACGGGGTGACCAGCCCCTCCCCACCCAGCCCCTTCCCTCCCACCCCCCACCCAGCCCCACCCCTCCCACCCCCCACCCAGTCCCACCCTCCCCACCCAGCCCCTCCCCACCCTCTCCACCCAGCCCCTCCCCACCCAGCCCCACCCTCCCCACTCAGCCCCACCCTCCCCACCCAGCCCCTCCCTCCCCACCCAGCCCCTCCCCACCCTCCTCTCTCCACCCAGCCACACCCCTCCCATTTTTGGATGCACGACGGACGGACACAATAATCCTCTGTGGGCTGGTGTAACCAGGAGGTTCCTACCAGTACCAGTTTTTAAATTGGCATAAGTAGAGTTTGCTAATGGTAGCTACGAAGTAAGAAATATATTTAGTAACAGACACAATATTTGTTCTTATTTTAGCATGACTAGGTAACTCAAGTGGCTATTTACCCATCGTATGAGATCCTCAAATGAAATCCGTATACCCACCCATGATTAAACTTAGTTTGCAAATGTACTGAGTTGACCAAAATGATAAAAAAAAATTGTCATCCAAATGCAGCTTATTCCAGCTTTGAGAATTAACCGTGTTAGTTTTATTTTAATTCAACAAATACGCCTTACGTGATGTCGTCTTCAAAAGGTAGTGCATTCATACACTACTCACTGAAAGAATTTCAATGGGGAAAATTTTTACATGCTGAAATTATTGGAATAAAATGGAACACTTTTCATCGCTGTAACGTGACCCGGGTATGGTGATGCATGCCTATGATCCGGCACTTTGCAGGCGAGGGTTGCTGGATCGCACAAATGTTATAAAACTCCCCTCCTGTGGGTGTTGAGGAGGAGCCAAACCCTGACTTGCCAGGAGATGCAGTACAGCAAAAAATGTGGACTCCACCTGTTCCATCTGTAGAGTGTTGCCCCACGTGCACGCCTGGGTTTTCTAAGGTTGCCCCGGTTTACTCCCACGTGTAAACGTTAATTGGTTGATAACACCTTAATATACAGAGATCCGCTGAGCTTGGGCAATTGGTGGAGCCAGCTCATCGGGTGGCTGTCCTGCTTTCTGTGGTTCCTCGCGCCTCTGACTCATTCTCACTACGAGAGTGAGCGAATACTGTGAGGCGTTACAAAGTTGAAATTATTACACTTGGAGGCGAGTGCTGGTTGCATCACGTCGGTTTATGAAACTCTCACACCTACTGAGCTGCGAGATAGCCAAGAGATGGCAGTACTGGGAATGGATTGTGAAGCCATTCTGTGCAGACCTTTAAGCATGTTCCTCTCATATGCATGATTTCTCCTTGCTACTGCGGTTTTCTCCAAATGCACAAATACAACCTCTTTAAGAAAATCTATTCGTCAAACACCCCAAAAGCTGACACCTTCTGAAAAAGGGGCTCGAGACTCGTCGGGGCTTTAACTAGGTGAACACTAAGAACAGTGTGTGTGATACTACTAAGGTAACTATGCAGGAGCTCATACTGAGCCTTCCACTGCCCCAAAGGGATGTGGCAATGCCCCCCCCCCCACCTGCCTACTACATGGAGGGAATACCTTTGTAAGTGTTAAAAGTTAACTGTTAGTGATAATTTATGGGTTCTCTGCTGCCACGGTGGAACTAGTACACTAAGTACGATTCGGAGCCGGGAAGATACTACTTGGGGTAATAGAAAAATAACACACTACGTGTTGCTGCTTGAGTGCAGGTGATGGTAAGTTTCCCAGCGTGCTGCAGGAGGCCAAGCTCCCGTTTGTGAACTACTCCACGTGCAGCCAGCAAGAGTGGTGGTGGTACGGCGTCAACACGAACCTGATTTGTGCTGGGGATGATCACGCAGTTTGCAATGTAAGTAGACATACACCGAGCTCACGTGTGGCATGGCGATGCGCGCCCGGTTTCCAGCAATTACAATTTGCTGTCAATACCGCTTTAATAAGTAACTTTTTTCACTTTTTCCCACAATTTCATCCCAATTTGTGGCATTGGCGTCGTGTCATGAGAAAAGAGCCACGTAAACTATACGAAACAATTTTTATTTTACCAGGTAAGGCCCACTGAGCTATATAGCTCTTTTTCAGAAGCAACCTGGCCAGAATTGATAACTCAACGAAATAGCATATCATGTGGAAATTTATAGCATCTAAATATTTAAAACGCATGTTGATTTTAAATGTGGAGAGGAAAAAACCTGAGGACCTGAAGAACAATCCACGTGACCACAGAGACCATGCAAACTCCAAATATACATGTGTCAGCGTCGGGATCGAACCCACGAACTCCTGTATACCAGGCGCCCTTACATCAGATCTGAGATCTCTTCGTAAAATGACCTCTAGTTCACACAATATGGGGTGGGGGGACGGGGGCAGTAATTCCCACTCGCTCTGCCACTGACAGTAATGTTCAATTCATGACGGTCAAACAAAGTCTTGAATCTTCGCAATTTTCACTGTTTGAGATTTAATTTTCTTAAATGATGCTGCATAAAATACAATTGTTATTAACGATTACTTAATATTACTATTAATAACATTAAGCCAAATCACAATCGTAATACAATTAGATAATTTTATATGAAGGAGAATAGATTAATTGACAATCTGTGTACTCAACAGCCATAGGCTACCACTAGATACCTTGGCTGAACCGATATTGCACATTTCCCATTCTGAACGTTGAGTGGAAGCCCCAAAGCCTAAATTATATAACAATAATTTAGAGACATTTCACAATCCACTGCTAGATGGATACCTCACGGCACCATGTCGGTCATGGGTGGTTGCTTGGCCATACTTCACCGCGCTGGTCTGTATGAGTTGGTGAACGTGTAGCGATTTTCGGGGGTGGGGCGGGGCGGGGGAATGCAAGGCCGGTTCACATTTCAAATCGTCACTGATGTTATCTGTTGCCAAGAAATAAACACAAATCGCTGGGTTCGTAGTGTAGTAAGAACAATTGACACTTCTAAAGCGCCTTTCACATGGAGGTCACAAGGCCCTGTACAAAACACACATATGCACATGCATGCAGACTCACACCAATAAAATACAACTCCAAAACAAAGGATTGAGAAAATAGAAAAAGCCCTTAAAAATGAGTCAACACAGAGAACATCCAGTGGCAGTGGACTCCACAGCCTGGGGTCCACACGAGGAAAGGCCCGGCCACCCATCATTGTACAAAGACTTGACCTCGGCACACACAACAGACCAGCCTTGCAGTGCGCTAACCACTGTAGAATAACAGCACTGAGAATGCTCGTAGATTCGGCCTGCACAGCTGCCTTTTTTGTTCTCTGCCTCCCACAGGGTGACTCGGGTGGGCCACTGAGTTGCCAGGAACCCAACGGCTCCTGGGTTGTGTATGGAATCACCAGCTTTGGACATAAAAACTGCAGCGTTTTCCACAAGCCCTCCGTTTTCACACGGGTGTCTGCCTACACAGACTGGGTCTCTCAAGTGATGGAGGTAAGAAGGGATGTATTACAGGCAGAATTGTGTCCCTTTTCCACTGGTTCACCCGAGCTGAACCGGTGCAGAACCCTCACGGTGCAGGTGGTTTACTGCTGGCTGCTTTCCATTCCGAGCCGGAACCAAATATTGGTAGGTTGGCCTCACAAGACATCTCAAATCTGGCTCAGAGCCAGGCAGGGTCAGGGGAGGGGCTAATGACATTTATTGTGTGTGGCGTCGGTGGCATGGCTCGGCTTTGACAGTGGAAAAACGACTCTGTCTCTCGAGCCACACTGGGCTTTAGAGCGGAAAAGAGATATTATTGGAGTCAAAATCGCAGTTGGGGGGGGGGGATCAATTCAGGGCTACGTCTCTCTGAAACTTCTGGCCATCGAATACTTGGGAATTTTAATCGGAAAAAGAAGTTTGACATGGTTGGGACACGTCTGCGGGATGGAAGAGGGCAGGATAGGAATTAAAGTAGCACTCAGCGGTTGGCGTCTCAAGGGGAAGACTTAAAATGGCATTGCCCATGAATAATTTGAAGAACGTGGCATTTCCACCACTGGCTTACTGCCAAACAACACCACTGTGCATGTTTGTCGTGGTTGTGCTGCGTACTCTGCATTGTGTTTGTGGGATAGGGCCTATCGGGCCAGGCAATAGTGGCAATGGGGCCAGGAGGGAAAGACTTCGTGAGAGAGGACAAAAGAGTGGTCCGAGGAACTTTAGCGCGTCGGATAGAGATGTGGACACAGAGAGGGGGATGGAGTCAGGGCCAGAGGGAAAGTGCAGGTGCAGGGGAAGTAAGAGAAGAAAGCGGTGCAGCTGGCCAAAGGGGGAATCATAGAGTGCTGCGAAAATGGGAATAGATCGAGGGCATGGGCGACCGTGTGAGGGAAATGCTTTCGGAGATTGGTGGAGCGAGCTCGGAGGGGAACCCTGCCGGCAAAGACACGGAGGTGAGAGCAGAGAGTGGGATGTTAGCGCTGACTTTCACAAAAGCTGCTCATATCATAGATGCGTTCCGCACATTACATTTGGTGAGATATATCGGGAATGATTTCTTTCTCAATTCAGGGGCACTGTTGACAAGTCACGAGCACGTGAATTATTGAGTCGTGACCCCAATTTGTCGACTGGAACTCGGTAACTACACACGAATTTTAACCCCTTAATGGAATAAAATACAATGCACCCCAAAACGATGTTAGAAAGTAACTGACAAACGAATGGTCTCGTGGCAAATACTCAGAGGGAAACATTCAGCAGGGTGTGCCCTTCGAATGATCTTATTGTAACATGCCCTTTGTGTTCTCTGTTCACAGACTTCATCACGATCAACAGCAAGTCTGTGCTCTGCACACCTTCTCATGCTTGGCCTCACTCAGTCGCTCGTGAGCCTCTTCCGGAACTGATGCTCACTCTTTCGATCTGCACGGTGAGCCTCGCAGTGCTAATTTAAGAATCGATTATTTGTATTTCATCAACGTGGTAGTGATGTGTAACGAACTCTCGTGGCTGCAGGGGTCAAGGAAACTAATAGCGTATGAAGCAAACAAATAATAAAATGTTGTATCTATACTCCCACGTACCATTCCGATTCATAAGTCAAGTAAACATGCAAAGTTGGGCCAACGTTGGTCTGACAGTAACAACCACATGCTAATATTGGCCCAACGTTCAATGTTTACTGGGTACGTATCAAATTGGGTGTGTGGAAATGGATGATTTTCGGCCCAATGTTGGAATGTGTTTGGAACCTAGCCAAAGGTTGCGTGTCTACTGGGTATCTCTTGAGCATAAGAAACAATTTTAAGCAAGCAATGGATGTTTTGTTGCATTCGTAACGCACATATCGGCTTGGTTTTATGAGTTTCTGAGTCACTAACGATTGTCTAAAGGCACAGCCCTGCAATTCCTTGCTAACGCCACTGCTGGCAGAAGGGTCTTCACGAGAGGGAGCTCTCGGGAGTCCCTGATGGAGAGAGTATGTTGGCCTACTTTTTCACTTTCGCCAAAGGCCGAGGGAGAGGTGGGAATACCCACACTCATACCCCACCACACGTAATCTGCGGATTGACTGACTGGTGACCCATTTACACTGCTGGGTGGACAGCAGCGGGAGCAGGGGATTTAAAAAACCTACCCAACATTCCAACTGCCACTCCGGGAGTTCAAATTGTCAACATCTGGGATGTAAGTATCGTGTGCTCAAGTTTTTCCCCGTATATGTTATGGCAACAGTCCAATGATTCAAACGATAATTTAAATGTAGCATATGGTTTTGCTCAGCTCTGCCAACCACTCTTTACAGAAGATGATTGCCCACCACCTAGTGGTGGATACCGTCAAAGTTACATCAGAAGTTCATGTAATGCCATACTCTGGGGTGGGGGTTCCCCTCACATAATATACAGATGTCTTGTGATCCCCATTTAACTCTCTAAAGTAAGGTTTATTAAAAACCGAAATTAATATACAAAGAAAAAAATTGGGGGCAAATTGATTGGGGGCCACAACACATCTGGACCACCCCTGTATGTAAGTGCTCTGAGACGCCCCAGAGTATAAGGCGCGATATCAACAACACATCATTATCATTGTATGTACAGCCTTTTGTTAATCCATTGCTGCATGAGGGGGTCTCCCTCCCTACCGTATCAGTCATGGGAGTTGCTTGACCGCGCTGGTCAGTGCGGAATATTGTGAAGGGGAGGAACCAGCACCGGTTTTAGATATTACCACTCATGGCCAAGTAGCAGCAGCTGGGTGTCGAACTTGGGTCACTGGTTTCAGTGCCGTATTCAGGGAGAGGTGGGTGGGGCGGGATAGGCGCCCGCCCCTCTCGGCTGGAGCCGAATTGATGCGGGTATTTTGGGAGGGTGACGATTGGGGATGGAGGGAGGGTGGGGGACGATGGCACTTTGTGCCGGTGGCCCAAATGGGCTAAGACCCACTATGGCCACCACTCCACTCGCGAATCCTGTAAATGTCCTTAATTTACACCAAGGAGAGCTTTGCTGAGTGTCAAAGCTCATTTCCATACTCTATGGCATTCTCAAAACGATTGTTTTGCACAAGGGAGGGCACCACTGTCTCCAGACATACCCCGCACAGGCTAAGGATTTACACAAACACTCTATTTCTATTATAAGAATATGTTTTACCCTTTTTGGCAATAAAACCGGTGTTTAGATGTTAAAACACCAAACTTAAACCTTTTGCAATGAATCATATCTGCATTAAGCACGTATACTTGTGGTGAACATGCAAACAAAAAACATGCCCTGCTAGTATATGCATTGTATTTGGTCCACACCAGAGACAGCTTTCTTGAGAGCTGAGTCTCCAACAGTGTTAGACCAGAGGACACCAAAATGCGAAAAGCACAAAGACTCTATTCCTATATGTATGTTGAACTTCTTTTGCACCATACGTAGTCAAACGTGCTAATCGGAGGTGCTATGAAGAAGGGCCATTGCCCGAAACATCGCCTATGAGATATACTGCATTGTATATGTCCTTTTCAGGAAGCGTTGTTGATGAATGTGTTGAGATCTAATTCACATAGGAACCAACTTGCTGTACTGCCATCTACTAGCCACCTCATGGCATGGTGCTTTGCCGCTTGAACACTTTCAAACATTCCTTAATAGTACAGGCAATCCCCGGGTTACGGAAGGGTTAGGTTCCCAAGAACAATCTCTAACCCGACTTTTCCGTATGTCGGAAACTGAACCATTTTCCCTCAAAATCAAGATAAAATCCCATAGCAGAAAATAGCTGTGCCTCCCCTACCCGATTACGAGATTCGTTTTCCCTCAGCAGGGGCGGAGCCACAGGGGGGGCTGGGGGGGGGGACTTAGCCCCCCCCCCTGAAAATTTGGGAAAGTCGGTAATTGGGATAACTGGATATCCGGCTGCTGCAAAATGTTGCAGGCTGCCACCTCGTGTGCTGCCCTGCAGGCTGCCACCTCGTGTGCTGCCCTGCAGGCTGCCACCTTGTGTGCTGCCCTGCAGGCTGCCACCTTGTGTGCTGCCCTGCAGGCTGCCACCTCGTGCTACCCTACAAGCTGCCACCTTGTGCTGCCCTGCAGGCTGCCACCTTGTGCGCTGCCCTGCAGGCTGCCACCTTGTGTGCTGCCCTGCAGGCTGCCACCTTGTGCACTGCCCTGCAGGCTGCTACCTTGTGTGCTGCCCTGCAGGCTGCCACCTTGTGTGCTGCCCTGCAGGCTGCCACCTTGTGTGCTGCCCCTGCAGGCTGACTGAGTGGCAGCCTTTCGAACTTATCGAACTTATTAGCCACATCAGTGGCTCCGTCCTATTAATAAACTCCGCGTTCAAATCCAATAAAAATGTGTTTTATACATTTGTGGCGCCCATTGGAAAACATAAACACTGGATATCTCAGAATACTGAAGTCAGCCCCCCCAAAGTCAAAATCCTGGCTCCGCCCCTGTCCCTCAGTACTGTTTCACGCTGTTGTCTGTTTTCTATAGTTACTCGTTACGTATCGCTGTACATACGCTCTACACTTCCTATGATTCTTTCATTTAGTCGAATATCTACCCTAACACTACCCATAATTAAACTAATGGAACATATACTCTATCCAATTTTATGAATACCACAACACATTTTAATATGGGTCACAGAAAGCAATCACTTCAGGCCTAGACTTCTCTGATCGCTGTTGGCTGAGACCATAAGCAATCGAAGTTTAATTGTGTTAAATAAAGTACATACAGTAAATAACTCATGAAATAAACTTAAAATCAAGAAAACCAGCGATAGAAACATGGAGAAAAAAGATAATGCTAAGCATAGAAAATAAACAATTACGTAACGCTACAAAAAATCCATTTACCTTACTCATAGTGAAGCTCGAGTGAGGGATAAGGCTGCCTACCCTACGCCTAACTCCACGGTATTCATCCGCAACCTTACTGCGCTGCACTATTTTCGCTTACGTAGATAACACAAGCAATTCTGCACATCGAACTTTTTTTGACATGATTTACTGGATCATTTTCATAAGGTCGGATTTCCGTAAGTCGGGTCTTCTGCAACCCGGGGAATTACTTTTGCAACCAAGATATGCAGTAATTGGTCTAAAAAGGGAACACCTACACACATCTCCCAATGCTGAGCCGAAAATTCTATGCTTATAATGTTTTTCAAAAGCGTCCCGAACATCAGTCTCCCTGTAACCTGGAAACAGTGTTCAGGCCACTAAATATTGTTCACTCATTCAGGCTCCACCTATTCGGGAAACCTATTCAACCAATGCTGCTGATAGGATGCACTTCCAGTGGGCCCTGTGGCAGATTGGCTTTGTCTGCTTACTTTTTTATAACTTATATTCTCCACAGTTATATTTTGTGTAATGTATTTTACGAACCAGGAGCCACATCTAACAGAGAGGGTCTTTGTCTGCAAGTACGTGACAGTTCACCAGCAGATTGAAGCAATCCCTACTCTGCTGATGAGACACGGAATGTCGAAAACCGGTTCAGAGTATTCTTGTATTGAACCACAGCAGCTGATTAGCTGCAAGGAGGGATTTCGTCTGCTTATGTATGTTTGTTGCTGATATTCTACATGCTGTTCATGATAATTTCAGTCTTAAAAGGTAAGCTAATGCCCTACATGATTTACACAAGATTCGCTTATTCAGATTACAGGTGGTTTATCTATGCATCCGCACCTCTAATTAACACGGTTGGCTACGTATTGTGCGAAAGAAGTTCAACATACATATACATACATCTGTGTTTTCTCACACGTTCTGTCATCTCAGCTCCCTGTTCTCCCCTCTTCTCTCTCCTTGTGTGTTTAGGCTCCAAGATGACACCGACCTGTAATGCCTCGCATCACCTTGCCCAATTGAATTTATAATAAAAGCACTCATATGATAGTGGAACTATGTTGTGCGGTACAATGTCGCACGTCCGACTCGCTGGAAACCAAGGTCATGCCATGCTTGTGTAACGAAGATCTGTGCTTTACAACATCTGTACCATCGCAGGACGCCCATAGAGTCTAGCTGCTCATTATATGTGTAGTGAGCGACTTCTGAGACACGGGGCGACACATTGTGTAACGCAGCTACACATAGGCTATCCTAACACGCAGCCCATCTCCGTCATACACTACGCAAGCTGTTTGACTAGCGTAGCAGCGGCAAGGGAGATGGTCTTGCAGAAGAACAGCCACGTGGTCGAAGACGAAGAGATGACGACGAGCAGCGACGCAGCCAGGACCCAGGACCCGCAGAACAGCCCCGAACCTCTGGTTCGGTCCCCCTTATATCTGCCCGGCGTGGCCAAGCTCCACCGGTGACCACGCCCCCTTTCCAGAACTTTTGGGCTGGTTCCCAGAGCTTCCAGACTGACTCCGCCCTTCACCTTTACCCAGATACCCCCCTTATAAGGCATTACGTAATGCAGCCTTAACCGTAATTATCCCTACAGGCCGGCAGGTGTCACCCTGTCATTACATATGTATGTTGAACTTCTTTCGCACCGAACATAGCGGGGGGAAGGACAACAAACTAAACTCTTGTGTAATAATTTAATATAAATCTTTATCTAATATATATAATACATCCATCAGCCTACGTGTTAAACTGATATAATATACAGTACGCAGATATGTGAAAAATGTCTGTTATGTGAACATTTATGGAAAAATACAGTTACACCATAATGTACAAACACAGCACTGGGTGTTATTAATTGGCGAGAGTGGATAAGTGACAGTCGGATATGCAACACCGCACATGTGTAAAAGTTTAGGTTTAGTGTCACTTCTGTTTCATTTAACAGTTTCTGTTTCATTTATTTGGTATAGCCCTGTGAGGCATTCGGCTCTTGAATCGGATGCAACCGCAACAAAGAAAAAACAAAAACATGAACAAGAAAACATCTTAAAGTGACTATAATACACATTTTTCAGAAGATGGCATTAGACTTACTGCAATTCGCTAAAGAAAGTATTACTATGTCCACGGCTGTTTCACTTTTTTTTTAGTGTACATACAATGAAACACACTACGTTGTGTAAACACGTTTGTCTCACACATCTGGCGAGCACTTTAACGACTTATAGCACGCGCGCGTGTCCACAATGTGTGAGTACGGATTGCCGTCCGGCAACGATGTCAAATATTTACACTTTGCGAACACCACATCAACGTCCGGAGGTACGGAATCAGCGTCACTGATGGGGGAAATTGCCCCCCTGAGTAACCCAGACGCGCGGCTTGAACTCAGTAAGTCTATAAAATAATGGCTCTTCTGTGTATTGATATCAATTTCCCAAAGAGATCCAGCCAAGGGGATTGAACCCAAATGCCTGAGTATGGAAAATGCTCTTAAGATGTCTCGTAAAGCAGGCTACGATTTAGATTTAAAGCTTTCGTGACTGCAGGGATTCATCTTCTTGGTTCTTTCGGTAAACTCACGTAGAATGGAAATAAAATAATACAAATAAAACATAATAAAATAAAATTATCACTTCTTTGGTTCTGTCGGTAAAGTCACGTAGAATGAGAATAAAATAATAAATTAATAAAATTAAAAACACAATACAATTCTCACGACGTTTTGGCCACAACACAAGTGGCCTTCATCAGGTGAAGGGACGAGACTGTCTGGAGGACAGCGCTGGAGCGAACACAGCCAAGCTCAGACCGCAACCTTCAAGCTGTGTGAGAAGAAACAGCGCCTTGACAAAGGAATTAGCATTATTTATTATTTTATTCTCATTCTACGTGACTTTACCGAAAGAACCAAAGAAGATGAATCCTTGCAGTCACGAAAGCTTTAAATCGAAAATTATCACTTTTATTTTTATTATTTTATTTCCAGGCTACAATTGTATGATTATAAAATGTCAGAAGATGGATTTTCTCGGCCCCCCCCCCCCCCCCCCCCATTATGCAAATTATTAGGTCCTAAGCAGAATATACTTGAACTCAGCCATTAACCATCTTCAAAAAACATTTCATCATCCTAATTAAATCTAATTGACACCCGCTGTGCCTGTAACCATTTCCATCTGAATGTTTTGTGTCTAATTCTTGAGCATGACCCAACTTACATTTCGCTACTCTCTAGCCACACCATAACATTCCAGTGACGTGCAGACTGTTGCTCGTGACAAATCTGCATAATCTGTGCAATTATATATAATGATCTGTATAATTATAAATAGAATAATCTTGTTGTCCTTCCCCCGCACCTACGATTAGCACGGTTGGCTACATACGGTGCGAAATATTTGTATATCTGCTCCTAAGCTTTGCATTAATAAACTAGCATTCTCTTGCTTCTATATTCCCTTTTACCCGTTATTTTAGTCTGTCATGCTCACTGCTGCATGGCACACAGCCACTGTGTGCCTATGTGGCCCACAACCTCGCAGTAGCTGCAGATGGATGTCCCACATTTGCATTCTGTTGGGATATACTGTAAAATTGGGAATCAAAATTTGGTGTTCTGTTTAATTCTGGCAACATTACAGCTTTGAGACTTAAAATCAATAGGGTATATTGACAAGTGACTCTTTTTTTCCAGGGCATTTAAAAAAGTTCGCGGCCGTTTTTGGTGTAGGCAAAGAGGTCAACGCGAGCCACTTTAATAAAAAAAACACTATAAAAATATAAAAGTCACACCATCTGCCGGTGCCGTTCTCTCACATAGGCGTTGATGCACCGTTCGCTGCGAGAATTTAGGGGGAACTTCATATATTCTCACGACATTTGTTTATGTGGCACATTAGTAATGGACCACTCTTTATTTATTATTTCCTCGTGCAGCAAGGGAGTAAAGTGTGGTTTTGTGAAAGTCCTCATGTGCTTTTTCGATTTAAAGCTTTCGTGACTGCAAGGATTCATCTTCTTTGGTTCTTTCGGTAAAGTCACGTAGAATGAGAATACAATAATAAATTGATCAAATAAAATAACACAATAATATTCTCACGACGTTTCGGCCACAACATGATGAAGGCCGCTTGTGTTGTGGCCGAAACGTCGTGAGAATATTATTGTGTTTTTTTATTTTATCAATTTATTATTTTATTCTCATTCCGAAAGAACCAAAGAAGATCCTTATGTGCTGTGCAGTACATCAATGCACGTGTGTACACCAGCATGCGATAACGGAGTTGGGCCTGTAGGCGGCTGGCAGGGTTATTGATTAACCGGACGTGTACACCAGTAGCATGGTTAATGGCGACTCGGTTGAAGATTGCTGTGTGAGACACGCGTGCCGTTGCATTTTACAGATTAACCACAATAAATGTTTGCCCTCGATTTGGAGCACCTGCCCACGTCCTTCATTTCGAGTGTGCAACATTTACTTTTCAAATACTTTTTCACTGCTTTCGTGTTTCCTTCAGCATTGCTTGTGGTTGCAACGTTGTGACCCACCCCTACTGGACATCTGTGAAAATGAGCTTCATAGTTCATTGGATTCCTCCAGTATAAATACGTATTTTGATTCTTTATCTGTGACATTTGTATACTAAGAAAACGACAAGCGTCCTACCCTCCTGGGATACAGCGTCGGTGCTGAAATGTGTTTTATTCCTACGTTTCATCTATCACCCTCCGCCCAAATCCTGGCCCGTGGAGTCACGGCGCGCAAGCCCCCACCAGCGCCCCTGCTTGTGAAATGATAGCGTCGACCATTGGTACTGTACAGGTACCCCTCGATTTACGGACGTTCGGTTTAGGAAATGTGTTGACGCAACTGACAAATCATGGGCACTTTTGGAATTTCCACGTTGACGAAATTTCAAACGTCACGCGCCACGAGATCGAACAAGAAGGACCCGGGAGCCTGCGTCATCCGTCCACAACAGCATCACGGTATCCCTGCAGTGCCACAGGAATGCCTCCACAGCACCTGTACAGGCATTTCAACATGCAGGTGTTTTGATTAATTCCCTGACAAGCTGACGAGGGTAAAAAAAATTGTTATTGGATTATTCAGTCGTTTTTAGATGTATGATCTTTATTGTTATGTTTTATACAGGTGTATATTTTGAGGTTAGGAGTCGAGTTGGAATGATGTCCAAAAACGCATCCCAAATTTTTTGATTTACTAAATTTCGTTTTACAAGTGTTTCTTTTTAAAGAAAGCATCCCTTTCGTAAATGGAGTGCTACATGTATTCGTGAATCCAGTGCACTGGGGAATAAATAGGCGTTAACCTGCATTGATGTGAAATGTGCATGAGGTGGCAGGCAAGACACGTCTATTGTCCAGCAAGCAGAGCATGTTGATGTTCGAGTAATCTTGTGTCACTGGTGTTCTCTATGTCCAGCCAATTATGTTCTGTACAGCCAATTAAAAACGGGTCCTCAAGTGTACTGAATTGATGGCCTTATCTCGGTTATCTCATCAAGGAGCATAAACCATTACCCCAGTCATCTTCGCAGCAGCTTTTGGCTAGCCATTGGACAAAGATGGTCACTGCATCGCGTGTATTCAGATGTGCTTCTGCGGCCGTCTGGAACGCTCTTCCTTCCGATATTAGAAAGCTACTGGAGCTATGCACTTTTTAATCTAGATTGAAAACTAATTTCTTTCGAACTGTCTTTTGTATTTAGTTTGTTGTCCTTCCCCCGCACCTCCAATTAGTACGGTTGGCTATGTGCATTGCGAAAGACGTTCAGCATACACATATCAAGAACGGCACAACAGAAAGCATCGCATTTAAAGTTGGTTCTGCACTTGATTTTGAATAAATTGCAGCTATTGAGAAATAAATATGTTGGTTTCACTGTCACGTGATGAACATTATTCTCAGGGGCAGAGCCGCCAGGAAAGTGCTGCCCCCTTACTGTTTGGACAAATGTGTCGAGGGATATCAGAGGTAGCTCTGTGATATTCGCTTCTGTGGGCTATTCTGTAGCACGGCGAGTTGCACTGCTCTGCTCTGAGAGGTCTGCATGGATTGATCGTCTCACGACGCGATAACACAATCTGAACACAATTGGAGATTAGCCAATTGTAGCTAATCGCCTGATAAAGCTGCTTGTGATCACCAGTGAAACGTCGTACTCAAATTGTAAATGTTGTGAGTTTACTCTCCAACGTACCGGTGTGCTGAGGTAGAAACTCATCGGCACGTTTTGTTTAAGTGACAAACCTTACTCATTGGCGGGTTTAGCCGAATGTTTATGTTGACGCGATCTGAAAAAAAATCCTATATTGCGGATAATTTTGGTCGCGAAAGCCTACGTGTTAAACTGGACATTGTGGATTTTGTTGTTGGGGTCCGGACATACTTCTTCCCATTACAACCAGCAACCATGTACAAGAGAAAGTGCTTTTGAGGTTAAATGATAATGCATTCGTCGTATCGGAGAGGATTTATTCCCAATTGGTGTGCTCTTGCATTACAAGGCTGATGGATCACAAAATACAAATATCCCCCACGTAGCCTACACAGACGGCTGGGGCGAACACTGTTAGCAAGCACGAATAAAGGCTAAAATGGTACACAAGGGGAGGAAGTGGCCAGAACCACGCCCGGCCGCCTTTGTCTCCACGGTGGTGAAAGTTCACACACCGCACCGTGTACTTATTGAAGGCTGAGTCGACCTAGGGGAGGCTCAGGACCGGTTCAGATATTCTCCACCGATGTTGGCTGTGATTGGGAATGCAACTCTGGTCGCCCAGTTCGGAGCACAGGGCATATCACGCACACAGTTACTCCCAACCAGGAATATAACATGACGATAAAGGGGGCAGCACATCACTGTTGGTGATGCGTAAGTGGGGAAACTACCTGTATATCTGCTCCTAGTTCACCAAGATGTGATTCACACGACAAAAGTCCACACGTTATATGCTTTAGCGACGGTCAAATCCAGAAGTCGTTCTTGTATGTTCAACTTATTTTGCACCGTATGGGGTCATCCATAAATGACGTCACACACCTGGGGGGGGGGGGGGGTCAGACATTTGTGACGATGTGTGACGAGGGGGAGGGTGGGGGGTTTGAGAAATATGACGTCACATCAAAATGCGCAACTTTAAATAAATATAGACAACACGTTCTACTGAATTAAATAGACTTTTTTTTAAATAAATGTTTTCTCCTACAACATCAGATTGCAGCGGCACATTAAATACGCACTACAATGAAAATAGTTCAAAGCGATTTGAAGCATGTTTTATTTTTGGGGGGGGGGGCAGAGCTTTGTGACGTCATATTTGAGGGGGGGGTCTGACTTTTCGTGACGCCGTGTGACGAAGGGGGGGGGGGGGGTCAAAAATCGTCCAAAATCGCGTGACGTCTTTTATGGACGGCCCCTATGTAGCTAACCGTGCTACAGATGGGGAAAGAAAGTGGCGGATGTCACACAGCGAGGTAAGAGGTTCTGCCAAGAGTCCGAGACACGTGGGAGAAGAAAGAGAAGCTTGGGATAAAAAACAAAGCCCAA